CAGTCTAATTTATTGGCAGATAGTCTAAACTTAAATTCCTAGGCACAGCATGGGTATTTTCAACCACACAGTCAGCCATCAACATTAACAAAAACATGCAAGCCCCACAGCTGGATGTACTTGATTTGATTCCAAGCTCTGCACTGCAACTGTAGCCAGGGAAACCAGCAGCACTCATATACTGCACTCAGGAGTTCAACTGAAAACCTCCACCATAGTTTTAATCCTTCAGCTCAATTACATAAGGGAGGAGAGCATTTTGCAGCCTGTCCTAAATGGCACCTAAGCTGGTAGCAGTGCCTAACCTACCAAGCTCAAAATGAACTCAAGTACACTAAGAAAAGTGGCAAATCACACCTGACTACAGCCTATCCCCACATTAAGTGACTCTCAGGTCATGCGAGAGCTCTGCAACAATGCAAATATATTCCTGACGTGGAAGGGACTCATAAGGATTATCAAGTCCAACTCCACACAGCACCACCCAAAATTCAAATGGTACATCTGAAAAACGTTGTCCAAACACTCCTTGAATTCTGGCAGCTTGGAGCTGTGACCTCTGTCCTGCAGAGCCAGTGCCAGTGCCAAAGGTGAAGAACCTTGCACCAGGCTCCAACTTGACCCTCCCCTGACCCAGATCCATGCCATTCCCTTGTGTCCTGTCACTGTCACCAGAGAGTAGAGATCAGCACCTAGCCCTGAAGAATTATAGGCTGCCATGAGGCTTCCCCTTATCCTCCTCTGCTCTGGGCTGCACAAACTAAGGGTCCTCAGGTGTTGCTCATACATCTTGACCTCTAGGCTCTCCATCATCTTCATAGCCCTCCTTTGGATGCCCTGTAATAGTTTTATGTCCTTATATTGTAGCACCCAAACCTTCGCTCAGTACTTGAAGTGAGGCCACACAGCACAGAGCAGAGTGGGATAATTCCTCCCCTTGTGCAGTGGCAGCACTGAGCCTGATGGTCCCCAGGGAATGGCTGGCCCCTTGGCTGCCAGGACACACTGCTGACTCAGACTCAACTTGCCATCAACCAGCACTCTCATGTCACTTTCTGTGATACTGCTCTCCAGCCTCTCATCCCCAAGTCTGTACATGTATCCAGGGCTGTCCTGTCTCATGCGCAGAATCCAGCACTTGCTCATGTTAAAACTCATACCGTTGCCCCGCCCTCCAATTTATCAAGATCTCTCTTTGAGGGATTCAACAGCTCCTCCCAACTTACTGCTGTCCACAAACTTAACTTAGTATACCTTCAAGTCCTGTATCCAAGACATTCATGAAAATACTAAAGAGACATGGCCCTAAAACTGAATCTTATGGAATCCCACTGGTGACTGATCTGCAGCCTGACATAACCCCATTTACTAAAATCCTTAGCACTCAACCCACCAGCCAGATCTTCAGCCACGACACTGTATTTCTCTCTAACGGCATACTGGACATTTTGTCCAGAACAATACTGTGAGATACAGCATCAAACGCTTTGCTGAAATCCAAAATGACATCAACTGGCTTTCCTTGGTCAACTAGGTGGGTAACCTTGTCATAAAAGTTAATTAAGTTTGCCAGCTACGCTCATTAAACAGGACTTACACCTCATAAACCCAAGTTGGCTGTGACCAATGACTGCACTGCCTTTCAAATGTTTTTCAGTAATTCCCAGAAGAATCTTCCTCATAATTCTACCAGGCACTGAAGGGAGATCAACCTGTCTGTAGTTAACCAGAGTGTTCTTTCTTGCCTTTCTTGAAAACTGGAACAATGTTTGCTAGCTTCCAGTCAACTTGGTCCTCTCTAGACTCCCAGGGTCATTGAAATTCATCAAGAGGTCTCACAATGATACAAGCCAGCTCTCTGAGTATGCTGGAACAAAATCCATTGAGACTCTGTATGGGAAGTACTGAGTCATGGCCTGAACCTCTGATTGATCACCTGAGGTGAGCAATGAGTCAGCCATGGGAGCACAGGTGAAGGCAATTCACCTGTACTGCTGGAAGGGGTGGAGCTTGGTTTCACCCCCCCCTAGACCCACTTAAGAGCTGACTACCACTGGGGAAGGCTCTCTTCTGGAGATCCACTCCACTGGAGTTTCCTAAGCCAGCCCAGGATAAGGGTAAGCATCCCTATCTTTTTTGTTTTCTGCTTTGGTGTAATGACTACACAGCCAAGCTCTCTGCTATACTATAACATCTGTACATTCATTGATTGTACAGACTGTTAAGCATATATGCATCCACTTGAAGCAGCAAGTGCCACCAAATTTAGGGCTGGCTGGGAATTTATTGTTACTGCAGTCAAAATCCTCCAAGCCCAAGATAGAGATGAAGAAGGTGTTAAACATCTCTGCTGCCTCTGCATCCCTATCTGTGATGTGACCATTCTCATCAAGTAAGAGACCCATGTTATCTCTGGTCCTCATTTTGTTGTTAACATATTGTTCCCCACATTAAGGGCCAGCTTCAACTCTAAGTTTTGGCCAAACAAATTTTATTCTTACAGTGACAAACATCATCGCAGTAGCCTTCCTATGTCACCTAACCTCACTTCCAGCAGCCATACATTTTCTGCCTAACCTCTGATCAGGATTCCTGCACAGGCAAGCCACCTGTGTTGACTTCCAATGTTTTGGAATCGCCTGTCCCCTGTGCTCTTAAGAGGCGGTACTGGTACAAAAAAAGCCACCAGTACTGATGGATTCTAATGCCTTCAAAAGCAGTTTCCCAGTGAATTCTGCTAACTAATTTCCTGAACAGCTCTTCTAGAGTTAAGAGTCTCTCCTGCTTACAGCAGCGGCAAATGCTGACAAGAAAAGATCTGCATCAGGCTAAGCACCCCAATTGCTAAGGGGTTTATGATTCAAATCTTAAACGCTAACCTTCATGTAAAAAGCAACAAACAACTGGAACCAGATTTATGGAATCATAAGGCTAAACGAGAGGGACCTCAAAGATGTTTTTAGTCCAATCACCAAAGCAGGTTTAAAACAAAATTCCGGCCATGCTGCTGAAGGCTACATGCAGTTGAGTTTCAAACCCCTTCAAGAGAAACCGTTCAGCCTTCTTGGGCAATGTGTTCAAATACTGAATTGTCTTCCCAGGGTGCTGTTTTTTTCCTCCCTTATACTCAATATGAGAACCTCTACTGCTTCAAATTAAATTGTTGTCTCATGTCTCCACTTGTACATCCATACAGGTACAAGGTTCATCTTCTTGAAAACACCCTTAGAGGTAGGGGAAGGCTGCTATCATGGGCAGGATCTGAGCCTCATCCAAGCCCATCTAGGCTGAACCAGCCCAGCTCCCTTGGCTTCTCCACATTAGTGAGGAGCTTCTGTCCTTGACCACCTTGGTGTCCCTCCATTGATCACAATCCCGTTTAGATTGATCTTTTCTGTACCAGAGAACTCAAAACCTGATATTTCAAATGGGATCTAATAAGTGTTGAGTATAGAGAAAGAAAAAAAACTCCTCTTGATTTGTCAGCACGTGGACTTAATTTTCACTGCTAGAAAGCTGAGAACGGTGCAGAGATTCCCAGGGACGCCATCTTATCGTGGTATCATTCGCTGTCTTCAATCTAAAGGTGAAAACAAAGTTTTGTCCCACCCAGTAATTTAGCTTAATCCTCAGGTTGATAAAAAGTTCACTCAGTAACAACAAGGGAAAGTAACCAAGCCTACAGCTGTGCAACTATATATTCTTTACCATTCCTCATAGTATCTGCATTTGGTCAGTAGTTAACTGAAAAACACAAAGCAGATTCTGGGAGTACATACCAGAGTCACAGTGTCTTAATTTGGTAACTAGATTGTTTAAATTCACACAGTGTTGCACAAACTTTACCTGTTCTCCCTATGAATGGAAGAAGGCAACTGAATAAAAATTTTTTAAAAGGCAGAATACAATTGTTTTTCACAGGTACATAAAATACTAACTAGTATACTTCAGTATAAAATACTAAATTAAGAAAACTTGGACTGGCCTTTTAGAAGAAAGCAGAAGAAAAAAAAAAAATGACACAAGGCTTGCAAAATACTTTTATTTTTAAGAGTATTCCTACAATATTTTTTAAAGCCTCACAGTTTACTATCTTAAGTACTTCAAAATGCTTCAGGAAGTCTCTATAAGAATCATACACTTTCAATGTTTCCGTTCCAAGTCTGAAATATTTTGGTTTGGTTTTTTTTCCCCCCCAATCAGAAATTGTTGATCTGTGATCTTCTAATGCAAGTGTCACTCATAAATGACTTTTCCAGCTCTGACAAAGAAAAAGTCTGAAACTGTGAACATGAAAAAAACGTTGTTACTTTTTTTCCCCCTCAACATTTCAGCTTTTAAACACATGGAAAATTTTAGTAAAATGAATGAATCAGACAAAACCCAATGAGATTTCCTGGCCAACCTGAATTGAAAACATTAAACCTAAGGAAGAATTAAATTGCTCTTGAAAGGCAGCCAGCTGGTCAGTCATGTAAAAGCAGCAGATGAGCCTGGAGAGAACATGAACAGCACATTCAGCTTTGAAGTAAAGGTAAAAACATAGAAGAAGTAAATGGAAAAATGTGCTAGGAGATTACATAAATAAAGAGATCATCTCCCAAGACTGCTGAGTGCTGGATGTTTGCACTCAGTTGCTCTTCAGGAATAATGATGGGTTAATAAATCCCTGCAGGTCTGTCCCACTATCCAGGAAATCCTGCCCATGCATAGCACCAGAAAAGCAACACGTGATGTGAACTTCTACTGCTGAGCTAAAATTGTGCCTGCCACAACAAAAGCTGCTAAAAGCGGAGGTGATTCTATACCACTTCCTCATCTACCCACATCCTCCCTCACCCAGTGTTTGCTGGTTCACAGTTCATTCAGTTCACAATAGCTGAGTACCACCATGAGACATGGAGAGGCTCCTGAAACCACCCACAAGTCAGTTCTACATGACAGCCTTCTGCATATGGTGACTTCACAGCTTTTCTCTAATGGGATAAGATCACCTCATCAGCAGAAGCTGACAACACAGAAGTTGCATTCAAGTCGTACAGACATCTTTGGATGGCAAACACATGCACAGAAATAGGGGAATATAAGCAAGTCCATGCTTTCCAGAAATTATTTTTTTCCAAACAAGCAGACAACAAAAAATGAAAAACAAAAAACAAATACCACCACACCCAGAAACTTACCTGAAATCACATTTTCCCATCTACCCTAATAAAAGTAACAACAGCACATGCAACAAGGATAAAGGCAGGTGTAAGAAGTTACCCTGTGCTTACTTCGGGCAACATCACTTTTATTGTTTCCCACTGCACAATCAGGATCACTAAGCAAGTAAGTCAACTCCTTTTTATTTTTACCAGTCAAGTTTTCTACCATTCTGACTTCCTACCGTGATGTTTAAGCTAAGTATACCCTTATTTTACTCAGGCCAATATTATCTAGTATCTGTAAGTTTTTCAAACGTTGCCTAAATACTCTAAATTATTGCTGTTTGCACTAACTACAAACAGTGCTACACAGTTGTTCACTGCTTTTTGCTTGCTTCTGTATAGATGACATATATTTAATTTGAAAACTTTAAGTCAGCACAGGATGAATGCCTTGCCAGTTCTTGGAGAACTACTGTGGTCTGAAAAATAAGGATGTGATTCAGAAGTGCACATAAGTGCATGTGAAAGTTTAAGCTTGTGCTTAACTCCAGTTCTGAAGTGATTATTTCTATTTGAATAGCATATGATTTTTCACTATCACAACCCATTTTGATGGTGAAAAGAGCCCATTTTTTTTTTCAGCCATCTGCTGCAATGCCTTATTTTGGGACATCCTGTCCTTCCCAGAAGAGAACAAAGTTATGAAATAAGCTGTAGCCCATTACCTTTAAGAATGCTTTTCATCAGTATAATTGCCAGGAGGGAAAAAAAAAAAAAAAAAAAAAAAAAACAACACAAACCAACAATCCTCTACACATAAACAATCAAAGAACTTATGGAAATTGAGTATGTTTTGTAGTGTTCTAACAAACATGTAAATGCAATTCACAACCTATTATGTTAGCAAATATACTCAGTGTGCAGTTGCCAGTGTGATGGTTACTGTTTCAGATGAACTGACCAAGTGATGCTAAACCTGGAAAGGTAACTTGATTTGAAAGTGTACTGCTTATGGATATACCACACAATAAAAGCTGCTGCAGTTCCACAGAAGCTTCCTTCCAAGAAGGCCACAGTTTAAGCTTGATAATGACTTCAGCCTCGTAATGATCACTCCGGGCAGTCTGGACAGTCTTATTTTCACATCTCTACAGGAAGGATAATTATAATACAGTTGCGTGGCTAAAACTGGAAGCTGACCTACCTGCTAAGAATGGCTTTGGACACAGGTCCTCCGAACCAGGACTGAAAGCGGCTCCAAGGCACGCTCGGAGGCAAACTTTCAAAGCACAGCGTTTCAAATGCAGCACAAAGCCAACTTTTAATCCTTCCTCTGTCCTCCCGAAATCTTTTACGAATTTCCAGTCCTATCTCCTCGTTTGAATACGTTTACTTTCCCCTACATCTAGTTAGAACCGCACGAAGAACACTGGATAATCGCTAAAACTAGGAAAGAATCCAGGCGATTCAAGCGCGAGCGTCGCCAAGAGACGAAAAGGAAACGACAAGCCGAGAGCCGCCCCGGCTCCGCCAGGTAGGCTGCTGCCGGTAGCTGCTAAGCACGCCACCGCAAGCGCCGCACTGCCGCCTGAGGACGAGGCGACCCCGCAGCGCCCCTGTTGCTCTGGCAGAGCCCAGCCGAGGGCTTCCCAGGGGGCGCCGAGGGCTTCCCAGGGGGCGCCGAGGGCCCCGCGAGGACGAGCCTCTCCCGACCCTCAGGGTGGACAGCCGGGACTGCCCGCCCGCCCGCGTAGCGCCGCGGTGCTGCCCGCCGGGCCCGCCCGGCCCTTACCAGGGAAAGCACTTTGTAGGTGTTGGGGTCCTTGCTTTTGCCGCCCGGAGCTTTCTCCGGCTCCTCGGCCACCTCCAGGGCCGGCAGCATTGGCACGGCCGCAGCCTGCAGCTCGCCATCGGCCGCCCCTCTCCCGCCGAGGCCCTCCTGACGGCCGTTGCCCGCCGCCTTCTCTCCGTTGCCCTGCATGCCGCCCGCCGCTCTGCCCTCCGCCGTCCCGGCCCCCGTTATTAATAGCGCGGCGGCCCGGCCCGACCGGCCCCGCCCCTGCTGGAGCGCGGCCGCCGGCAGCCCCCACTCCCACGCTGGCGGGGCCGAGCAGGGCCGGGGCCTCAAGCCCCGGGTACGGCCCCGTTGCCCGCCCTCGGCCTGCAGGCACGGCCCATCCGCACCTGTGCTGGTGAACCTGCAGCTTGGGTGGCTGCGGGTGTGAGGCGCCGTCACCGCGAGCACAAAACAGGAGCTGGCAGGCAGTGTTTGCGGGGCAGGGTGGAGAATGTCGCTTCTCGCTCGAGGCAACTTGGGGTTAGCTGTCTCAGCAGGCCGGGACAGCGTTAGTGCAGTACCTGTGTATGTACCTCCTAGGTACCCTTCTGTCCACACCCTTCTATTTCTTGTGTTTAGATCTACTCATCCATGGTCTGACCTCTCCCTGCCTATTCTCACTAGCTCAGCCCTACTGTTTGATAAGGGAGAGGTGCGCTGTTAGCTTTTTTAATGACCCTACTTGACAGCTTGCTCCAGGATTATACATCTGGCTGTTTGTTATCAGTTCCACATGGACTATGAGTCTACCAGTTGCCTGAAAGGTTCAGAGAATGCTTTGTTGGTCATTTCTCCAAGAAACATGGAAGTCTTCAGTAACATCAATAGTTGGAAAGCCTCCTTGTGCTTAAAATTGCTAAAAGTTAGCAGCTTAGCATAGGAGGACCTGGATGTGTGAGGTGGACATCAAGCTGAATAGGAGCCAGCAATGTTCCTTTGCTATGAAGAAAGCTAGTGGTATCGTGGGCTGTGTCAAGGCAATGGGGAAGGTCCCCTCTACCCAGCACCTGTGAGGTCACACCAGTAGGTCCTATGCTGTGATCCCCCACACAAGAGATGTAGGCATACTGGAACAGACACAGACTTCTGAGAAGGGCCATGAAGATACAGAAGAGATTGGAGCACCTCTCCTGTGAGGAGAGGCAGAAAGATTTGGGACTGTTCAGCCTGGAGCTAAACTGGGATTCAGGAATGATTTCATTAACATTTATGAATATCTGAAGAATGGGTGCAAAAGAGACAGAACCACTCTTACGATTCTTTTCATTTATTTCCAGTGGGCCCTTAGAAACAAAATGAAACAGAGGAAGTTCCCACTGAAAATCAAGCAGCACTTCTGTGTTGTGTAGATGATGGAGCACTGACACAGGTTGTCCAGGGAAGCTGTGGTGTCTCCTCCACAGAGATCTTCAGAAGCTGCCTGGACAGTCCTTTGAGTGTCCCCGCACAGGCAAGGGTTTGAGCAGATGGACACTGAAGACACCTCAGCCATCCTATGAAAAAACTCGTTTTCCATCATTACTTACATTTTATGTATAGATATATATATTGAAATTAGACTGTCTTTCATTCTAAGGTGGTGATGGCTTTGAAATACAAGGACTTAAGAAGTCTGTAGCAGATTTTCATGCGATTTTGTTCCCTTCCAAAATATTACTACTCTGTTTTCTATTTCAGCTGAGTCTCATAATCAAACGGCCACTACAGTCTCCAGGATAAACAAAAATTCTAAAGACTTAGCATTTATTTAACATTTATAGAATTACTGCTACTACAGCTCCCAGCACATTAAAGATCTGGGCAAGGGTGACTGTCATCACCTTCTGAGTCACATTCTAGCCTGTTTTGACTGCACAGGTGTCATCTTGAGCATTTCTGCACTAATGATTCACATAGTGACAGAGAAAAGGAAAAAGCAGATGGGGCTGTGGCTATCAAACTCTTGAGTCTACAATAAGATCTCCTTTATTCCATTAATCCAGCATTTCAATCTGTGAAACTAAATAACTGATACATTTTTAAGGACTTTGACATCTAATAAAAAAAATGTAAATTTGAGATTGTCTGCTAACTTTAAAAGACTCATAAAAACTAAAATAGCAGAAATAGCAGTTTTATTCATTGAATCTGGTTTTAATAACTAGTGCAACAAAAGACAGTTACAACCTCCCTTTTTTTTTTCCTGTAAAAATTAAAAGATATTGCAGTCACATGGTTTTCAGTTAAAATCTTCTTTTTCTTTCCATTTCCAAACACTCTGGCAGGATTTTTTTTTTTTTTTTTTTTTTTCCCCAGTATGTCTGGACAATTAAAAGTTCTTAGCTAATTTTAAAGAACTAAAAATTCATTTTTCATCATTTTTTGTGTATTTTTCTGATAGCTTTTAAGAGTAAGTCAAGTAGAAATCTTTCTTGTACTGTGTAAGTCATCAACTCAAAAGTTCCAGCAACACATGTTGTGCACTGGTGATTCAATGGAAATGACAAATAATTACATCACAGACAAAAATGTGTCCCTTTTCTCCATCTGAAGAAGGGCTTTACTGCAGTTGCAGCTAACTCTCAAATCATTCATTGAGTAGCAATCCACTGACAGCTGTTTTTCTATGTACAAATATTTGTGAAACACCCCCAATTTTATCATTTCTTTCTATGTCAATATAAACAGTTAAGGTACTTCAGGCTAGGCATGGAAAATAATTACCCTGTGTAGAAAACAATTAACCCACCTGTGAGAAGAATGCTCATTTCAGATGACTGGCAGTGTGTCTAAGGTACACTATACAAGAATGGAAAGGAAAACCAAATACGATTAAGTTCTGAAATCACATGGGAAGCCTTTTCTGATGAATACTAGGAGACAAGATGGAACGTTTCAAATGCTAAGCCTTCAGGAATCTACAGTTACTTCACTGCTTCAGAAGGAGATTGTGAAATACTGGTCAATACAGTTTTAATAAATATTTGACAAAGTATATAACTGTAAAATTAATTAATTTCAATTGTTACTAAAATTGCAAATCCGAATTCCAAAAGACTTGGCTATGGCTTTTTCAGCAGACACAGAAAGCTTCAGTGGGAGCCCAGATTCCCAGCAGCCAGCGCAAGCGTTGAGCAATTCATCTTCTCAACAAATGTAAGGGGAAAACCTCTTAAAATCAGCCATAGAATCATAGAATCACCAAGGTTGCAAAAGATCTCCAAGATCATCTAGTCCAACTGTCCACCTACCACCAATATTTCCACACTAAGCCACATCTGTTAGTACAACATCTAAATGTTTCTTGAACAGTTCTAGGGAGGATTACTCAACCACATCCCTGGACAACCCATTCCAGTGCTTCACTATTCTTTTGGAGAAAAAATTTTTCCTAATACCCAACTTGAACCTTTCCTGACTCAACTTGAGCCCATTGCCTCTAGTCCTATCATTAGTAACGCTAGAGAAGAAGCTGACCTCCCTTCAAGTAGTTGTAAAGAGCCTTGTGTTTCCAGGCCTCATCCATAAAGTAAGTCATCAGAGCATGACAATTTTAATTTTTTCTCCAACCACGAACTGCATCAGGGAAGAAAAGCAAACACAAACAATGCAGTGAGAGGGAAAGGCAAACACGGGAGTTCTACACGCTGCTATGTACCTGTGTTCATGACATTTGCTGCTTGCATTTTTTATCTGGATGGGGTTGACAGCAGATGCCTCTTCGAAAGGCTGCAGCAAACACCAGGTACCCATAAATCTCAGCCTGACCCCATTTTGTAAGCAGGCTGTAGCACAAAGGACATGCAGCTGGGTGCCAAGGTGCGCATGGGGCACCTCATTACAAAAGCAGATTTCACCTGGGCTCCAGCCAGGGCATAGGGACCCTTCCTGCGCTCTCAGTAGGCCACAGGTTTAGCCTGTGGGCAAAGCAGTACCACGATAGCTGCCCATGATAATCAGTTCTGTGCTGGCCTGGTCTTGACACTTACATTATAGCACAGAGATCCTCCCAGTGGGTGGTCGCAACCGTGAGCTTCTTGTTGCTTTATCTAATCCTCAGAAAAATTTCTGTAGCTGCAAAAAAGACCAGAAACTCCAGACCAAGGACTTGCTTGTTAAAGATTGTTATGTCTCAATGTAATGCTGGACTCTGCCCTTATGCGTGCTACTGAAGCTGTGTTTCTCAGCTCCCCCTATAAGAACTTCTCTGGCATTCTTGTATGAGAGCTGCACTGTAAACTGTTCTGAGAAGCAACAAGCAAGCAAATCAAACTTACACAGTTTCTGAGTTATCATTCTTGAGAGTTTAATTTAGTGCTCAAAGGTCACCAACTTTACAAAAAAAAAAAAAAAAAAAAAAAAGAAGAAGAAATCCCTAGTAAAGATAAATGAAACAGGAGCTTTCTTTTATTGTATCAGGCAGCAATGATTCAGATGAAATCAGAAATCCCACAGCATTCCCACAGAAATCCCACTCATCAAGCCATGTAGACTGTTCTGTGTTTTTCAGATTTCATCTGTAAAAACCAGCATGAACTTTGGCTGAGCAAAGACACAATTTCATGTAAAATTTCAGGATTCAAATTGTAAGTCTCAGAATCTGAATTTTCTATCATGATATCTCTTTAATGGGATTTTTTAAAAAATAGGATAATTCAGCTTTTTATAAGTGCTTATTTCAAAAACTGTTAATTTTGCTCTTTAAAATGTCTCTTTTTTGATAAGTACAAAAATAATTTTTGCAAATAACTGCCCACTTTTTTGGCTGTTTTACTGCTATTCAAGGAAAATAAAATCTAAAGATAATAAACTCATCACTAGTATTTTCTATAACACTGAAGAACTGGATAATCCTACCCATTTTTAGTCTTAATTTGGCATAGATTATTACAAATTTAATAACTGTTAATCCAACAGCTGTTATTGAAGGCAACAACACAAGCAAACAATGGAAAGTCTATATTGTAGCCATTGTATTTGCTTTGCAGCAATTGTGTGTCTAAGCAACGTAAAAATGTTGATTTTAGAAAAAAGTGGCTAAAAACCTTTACACTGTATAATCCTGACACTGACAATACGTAGACAGACCTTGATGGGATGCACCAGTTACTACCTATGAAAATATCCAGAAGATGTTTGAATACTTTAACGTTACCCAGGCAAAAATTAATTGCAAGGTAGTTATGCTGTTATTCTCAGACTAATCTCACCAGCAAGAATGGTCTTACAGTTGCCAACCACGGCTAGGAGGTCTGCATATGCAAGTATATCACCAGGAAGAACAAATTTGTGCATATATGGGAAAAATTGCAAGAAGTTTACAAACTGGAAGGGAAAAAAAAACAATACTGTATACTGGAGTAATTAGTCCAGCAGTTTCCTGAAGACCTGCTGGTTTAATTCAGGGCTTCTTCTAGTGAAAGCAGTGTTTATGAATCTGGGGTGTGTAGAGCTTTGATTGTTTGGCAGTGACTCTCAGCAGTAGTGTAGGTACAACAGCAGCCACTGCAACTAGCTGGGAATTTAAGGAAAACAGAAGATTCTTTCACAAGTTAAATGTTGTGTAACTACTAAAAATATATAAATAATTACAAGCAGAACTTCTGTTCCCTTTCATGTTATTCTACGCATGATATAGACAAGCTACAAACGTCTTTCAGTTTTCTGCCTAAAAACCAATATCTTTTAAGATATCTAGAAAATCAGTGAATCAGGAGACCACGTATAGAAAGGTCACTGTGAAATCTCAATGACATTTTCTCCTTTGAATATGTCAAATGTATCCTTAGGGCCCAGCTGCGTGACTCAAAATCGCATTGAGAAATCCCTTTATACAAGAGAAGGCTCCAGGGGGACCTCATTGTGGTACTTGAAGGGAATGTGTATAAAGGAGGGGCAGTAGCTGTTTGCATGGGTGGATAACTGATAGGATAAGCGGAAATAGTTTTAGACTAAGACAGAAGAGGTTTAGGTTAGATATTAGGAGGAAGTTTTTTACACAGAGGGTGGTAACACACTGGAACGGGGTTCCCAAGGAGGTTGTGGATGCCCCATCCCTGGAAGCACTCAAGGCCAGGGTGGATGTGTCTCTGGGCGGCCTGCTCTGGCGATTGGTGACTCTGCCTACAGCACGGGGTTGAAACTAGATGATTTTTGAGGTCTTTTTCAACCCAGGCCACTGTATGATTTGATTATCTCATTGATATTTGATAGCTCAAAGTGAACAGCAAAACACAATACAAACAGGAGAGGGAAAAATAAATAAACTGCTTTCAAAACAGATGCACAAGTGGAGGCAGAGATTTGAAAAAGTGCCTAAGGAATTTAGGAATGCGCACCCTGCATCTCCAGGAAGATTTGTATTCCTAAATCACTTTGAAATCCAGCATTACTTCATGCTAAGAGCACAACAACTGTATTAAGTCAGCTTAAACAGCAGTCAGAGATCTGCAGCTGAGGAGAATTTTGAGCCAGTGGAAAGTTCTCCTCCTAAATACTATTTAAAAATGCTTTTTCATCATGTCTAGCCACTTTCTAAACACATGCAAACATGTAACACATACTCCATTTTGCAGTAAGAAGTTTTACTGTTTCAGTTTTGAAGAAAAACTCAATTTGTTGTTTATTGTCATCATGCGAAATTATGTAGTCTAATGTAATTTCACAAAATTCTATGCCCTGTGGAGTAACGTTATGATTCAGGTGCTGCATTTCTGCTTTTCAGCAGCTATGCTACAGTCATTGGCATTCATAAGCCTTTTACTGGAAGCAAGTGCGTGGAATGCAAAGTTTGCAATTCACTGCTGGAACAGCATCTGTTTTATATGGACAACAAGTGCCATCAAAACACGACTGGAAAATTATCTTTCAGAAAGTACACAGAAAGACATTTTAAGACACGCAATGCTGAATTATCATGGAAAAAAAAAAAAAAGGAGAAAAAACACAACAAAATGCAGAAAACTTTTTGTGACTTTCACAATGCAAGTTGTCTCAGCGCTTAATGGCCTACAAATGACTCAGGAACTTGGTGCGCACTTAAGGAAACATCTGGTATTGTAAAATACAATGTTACATAAAAACCTCACAAACAATTTAAAGAGCACCTGTAAATATAATGAGAGAAGTAACCATTTGTTACAGTAACCATTTGTTACAGTTACTTGTTTAAGGGGAAAAAAAGAAAAAAGAAAAAG